AAAAAATATATATGACTGCAATTCCTGTACATTTATTGCTTCTTATTTGTCTGAATGTTCCCAGTGTGTTTCATATTTACAGCGGTAAATTCAAGTTTAAGCCCGCCGACGACCTACATTTATTTTTAATGGACAAGCACTCTGTTAGAGAACAACATAAATACCATATAATAACATAACATTTCACGTTGTTGTAATAATATGGTAGTAAATGTTTCTTAGACAAATGTTAATAAGTCAGTCTCAACTAGAAGTTATATTTTAATATTATCTCTCAACACATAACCTTTTCAATCTACAACTGTTTCGGTTTTACTTTTGAGAATACATAAATTTTGAAACAAATAGACAAATGTTAATATGTTATTCTCAACTACCAGTTATATTTTAATATTATCATTCAACACATAAGCTTTCGACCCACAATTGTTCCGGTTTTACTTATAGAAATACATAAAATTTGATACAAATAATTAAGTTTTAAAATGCGAAATAAATTAAAATATACATTTATTGTGCTACGGATATTTCTGCAGGGCTAAGTTGGAAATATTTGTTTTGGTACATTGTGTAGTCAAAATAAAATTATAAATAGTTAGAAACAAGTAAAAAAGCTGTAAGTTCGGCCGAGCCGAACTTTTAATACCCTCCACCATTTGGTACAAATTTGGCAATTTCCAAAAAATAAAATCCGTTAAAAATTCTGTTAATATCTTAAGAATTCCGAATGCTTATACGACGACGTGGGCCTGCATAGGCAACTTTTGTCATAAGTTATTACAATATTTAAATGCGAAACTTGAAGAAAAATTTATTTATAATGTAGCTAAAATCATTAAAATACCGTGTATGGGGAGTACCGTTATATGGGGGTTATACGAAGACGTGGACCTGCACAGACAATTTTCTGGCATGGGCTGAAGTATCCATTACGAACTTCACATGCCGTATTTGAAACAATCCCGGTAAATAATGTCACTAAAATCATCAACATACCGAATATCGGGGGCTACGGTATATGGGGGCTATATGAAGACTTGGACCTATATGGTCCATTTTCTGTTTTATGCTGCAGTATCTATTACGAACTTCAAATACCAAATTTGAAACGATTTCGCTAAATAATGTCGCTAAAATCATCAAAATACCGAATATCGGGGGCTACTGTTATATGGGGGCTATATGAGGACGTGGACCTATATGGCTCATTTTTCGACTTAGGATTACGAATCCATTACGAACTTCAAATACCAAATTTGAAACGATTCCGGTAAACAATGTCGCTAAAATCATCAAAATACCGATTATCGGGGGGTACCGTTATATAGGGGCTACACGAAGACGTGGACCTGCACAGATAATTTTCTGTCTTGGGCTGTAGTATCCATTACGAACTTCAAATTTGAAACAATTCCGGCGAATAAAGTCGCTAAAATCATCAAAATACTGAATATCGGGAGGTACGGTTATATGGGGGCTATATGATAACTTGGACCTACATGGCCCATTTACGATTAAACAAAAAACAAAACATCTCCCTTTCCTACTATGCAAATTGCTGCACTATGATTCTCCTAATGTTTAATTTATTATTTGATGATTATTACAACAGACAGACAGACAGCCGGACATGGCTAACTTAGACTTAAAATTTTACGCTGATCAAGAATATATATACTTTGATGGGTCTGACATGAGTATTTCGAGGAGTTACAAACGGAATGACAAAATTAATATACACTCCATAGTATGGTGGAGGGTATAAAAATAAAATCCGTTAAAAATTCTGTTAAAATCTTAAAAATACCGAAAAATACGACGACGTGGACCTGCATAGGCAACTTTTGTCATAAGTTATTACAATATTTAAATGCGAAACTTGAAGAAAAATCTGTTTATAATGTAGCTAAAATCATCAAAACACCGAATATAGGGGGTACCGTTATATGGGGGCTATACGAAGACGTGGACCTGCACAGACAATTTTCTGGCATGGGCTGAAGTATCCATTAAGAACTTCACATGCGAAATTTGAAACAATCCCGGTAAATAATGTCGCTAAAATCATCAAAATATCGAATATCGGGGGCTACGGTATATGGGGACTACACGAAGATGTGGACCTACATGGCCCATTTTCTATTTAATGCTGCAGCATCTATTACGAACTTCAAATGCCAACTTTGAAAAGATTCCGGTAAATAATGTCGCTAAAATCATCAAAATACCGAATATCGGGGGGTATGGTATATGGGGGCTATACGAAGACGTGGACCTACATTGTCCATTTTCTGTTTTATGCTGCAGTATCTATTACGAACTTCAAATACCAAATTTGGAACGATTCCGTTAAATAATGTCGCTAAAGTCATCAAAATACCGAATATCGGGGGGTACCATTATATAGGGGCTATACGAAGACGTTGACCTACATGGACCTGTCTTAGGCTTTGAAACGATTCCGGTGAATAATGTCGCTAAAATCATCAAAATACCGAATATCGGGAGGTACCCTTATATGGGGGCTATATGATTTCTTGGACCTACATGACCCATTTACGAACTTAACCTGCCTACTGGCAAAATATACATGTATGCAAAATTTTAGCCTTCTTTCTCAATTTGTTCGAAAGATAGCGTGATTACAACAGACAGACAGACAGACCGACGGACATGGCTAAATCGTCTTAGAATTTTACGCTGATCAAGAATATATATACTTTGTTGGGTCTGACATGAGTATTTCAAGGAGTTACAAACGGAATGACAAAATTAATATACCCTCCATAGTATGAACAATCATTTGTTTATACATATGGGTAGATTACTTTGTCTAAGCCGCAGAGTTTTAAAATTACCGAGCAAAATGTTCATTGCTGTTTAATCATCTGTGCAAGTGACATGAGTTTGAAATAATTTTAGCTCTTGCACATCTTTTTAGAAGAGAGGATCATTAGAAAAGGTATTTTTGACTAACCATTGGAACGTCATTTTTATTAAACGTTTGCCATGACATGTTAACAAAACGTTGGGCACGGCATTTTAACCAAACTTTTTACGGAAAAATATTTCATTTGTATGTATTGCAGTAAATATGATAATTTAGAACTACTATTAATAGGCGTACTTAATGTGACACCATATATATCAGAGAACAACATAAATAATATATAATGTTCATTTCACGTTGGTCGAGTTAAAATAATCTGGTGGCAAATGTTTCTAAGACAAATGTTAATATGTTACTCTCAACTACAAGTTGAATTTTTATATTATCTCTCAACACATACATTTTTTCCACCTACAATTTGTTCGTTTTCACAAATTGGAATTATATAAATTTTGAAACAAATAGTTAAGTTAGAAAATATGCATTAATTGTTCTACTGATAATTGTGCAGTATCAAGTCGGAAATATTTGTTTTGTACGTCGTGACACTGATTTCTACGTTTATAATACAGATGGCAAAATACTGATAATTGTGCAGTAACAAGTCGGAAATGTTTGTTTTGTACGTCGTGACACTGATTTCTACGTTTATAAAACAGATGGCAAAATAAAATGATTCCGTTTGTAGCACCTCTAAACATTCGTCATAAAGTATTTATAATCATCGGCAGATGGCAAAATAAAATGATTCCGTTTGTAGCACCTCTAAACATTCGTCATAAAGTATTTATAATCATCGGCAGCATAATAGTCTAAGGCCGGTTATTACATCTTGCCGATAGATAAAAAAGTGATGTTGTCGGACACATTAATCATTTTTCGTTATTACAAGTTTCATTTAAGTATGAACTGTCCGATAAGCAAAAGGTCAGACCATCTTCCCTTTATCTTTTAACGTAAAGTTTACTGAATTCATGTTGCCATATTTTTTATTGATAATATGGCAATAACAGCAAAATTTATATTAAATAAAAAATGGATAACGCAAATCGTTTATTTTATATTGAAGAACTGGAAGATATTTACGAAAACATTGAACCAGAAAAAAGAGCGACCAAAACATATCGTGAACGAGTGGATTATCTACAATTTTATGATGAAAAGGGGTTTGTGAAAAGGTTCAGAATTTCAAAACGCACATTCCAATTTCTAATACAAATAGTTGGCCCTTCCTTACAAGCGAAAGTGTCAAAGTGTGTATAAATATATAACATAAATCAAATAATTACTAACCAATTTCCAATTAGGCAATATTCCGTGTCGCCTAGAACAAAGCTACTGATTACATTAAGATTCTATGCCAGCGGTAGTTTCCTAATTACGGTTGGCGACTTTTGTGGTGTAAGTGTCTCTACTGCCAGTCGTTTAGTGAAAGAAACGTCGCATGCTTTAGCTTCAATGACCAAGGAGTACATTAAATTTCCCTCTGACACAAGAGGAATGCAACAGACATCGTCTGAATTCTTTGCGATAGCAAAATTTCCAAAGGTTATTGGAGCATTCAATCGTCAGGAGGAGATAACGGAGAGATTTTCCGGAACAGAAAAGGATACTTCTCATTCAATGTTTAAGCCGTGTGCAGTGCTAAACTTATGTTCCAAGACTTAGTGGCAAGATGGCCAGGATCTGCACATGACAGCAACATTTTCCAAAATAGCAGTTTAAAATTTCGATTCGAATAAGGTCATTTTCAAAATTGATTGAAAACTATTTTACAAGGTATATTCAAAAGGGCAGTTGTTTAACTAAGTTTTTTAAAACGATAACGTACTATTTTATGTCTTTTGTTGCGCAAGCTCGATTTATGCTTTTCTTTGCGCGTTTCTCGAAGATAAGTAGGTTCAATTTTTCATATAATATTTCCAAATATTTCATGTAAAATTTCTTAGAAGTTTTCTTAAATTTCTTTATTTCTTAAACTTGCAAGAACTTCTTTTTTCCGATGGTTACGATTATGTGCTTTGTAGTTACATTTTCATATTCACAGAACCTGCGTTACGCTGCGGTTTTAAAAACTTCACAGCGCTTCGCTGTACATCTGCCAAAAAAATAGCACCCACTACGTACATTGTTAACCCAGCGTTTGAATTTGCGGTGCTGTGAAACATAGACCAATTGATGTGATATTACAACGTTCGCAGCTGGTGCTATCGTTGCTGGGCACACAGCAAATTCAAACATTCAACGTTAAACCGTTTTAAAAGATTTTGTTGGATAAATTAAATTGTAATTCAGTTTTTATTTAAAATTTTCTAATCTATTTTCAGTCTTTTAAATGCTGACTAGCTAATAATATTGCTTATAATTACAAAATACATTTGCAATTAAAAATACATTTGAATTACTCTATTACATTAAATTTTAACCTCTTTTCCTCCAACTCTAAGTGCAAAATTTCATTCTTCAGTCTCAATGAAAATATTTCGTGTTCATGCTTTTCTTAAGCACGCATTTCTTCGTTTTCATGCTTCTCCTGGGCACGTAAAAGAACAAGTTCAAGTTTTTCTTCCTCTAGGTTGCGTTTTCTTTTGCCGCCGCTAACCAGTTCTTTTGATTTAGGTTTTTTTAAAGTCTGTGGGCTGTCTGTTGACCATTCCTTTCTTTCTGTTGAAATATTCAGGGAGTTGTTCTAAAAAATATATAGAAAAGTATAAGTAAAACACCTAAAACATTGAATGTCACTAAATTTACTTAACATTTAACAGAATTGGCACTCCTTAACAAAACCCCGTATAAATCGGTAAGAGCAAATAATTTAAAATTTTTCTACTTATAGAATATTACCTAGCTAATTTTACGATGTAAAATTCCACTTTTATTGGCAAAAAATGGTATTTATTGTATAATCAACTGAAACTTGCTCGTATATTTACCGTGAGTTTTGTCAAGAATTTCTTCACCAACTTATATGTCTTTTTCACGTGTGGTATATGGTGTATTCCTTCAGCAATGACAATTTTGTTACAGAACAGCAAGAATGTAATAGTTTTCACTACACGATAACCGACTTCCCCTTTATGATATCGGAGAAAATTGGAATTCTAGTAGATTCTTGCAAGTACTGGAACAGAGTAATTATTAGGCAACTTACATTTTCTTTATTGCTTTCCTCAATAAATTCATTAGATGCATTTAACTCACTGTAGTCAATGTAATCAGGTTCAACCACTGCAAGAGAAATACAAAAAAGTCATCAAATTGCTCAGTGTAGCATTTTGTATAAATAACTTACCGAAATCACTATCATACGTATTTTCCAAGCCTGTTGCGGAATCTCCTAGCATGGAAGCAATTTCTTCCGAAACAGTAGATACTTTACAAGTCACCATTCCACCACCCGTACGATATGTTTGCAACTTCTGTTCTGCAAGTTCAATCTTCGACTTACGTTTTATAACCTCGTATTTATCACGCAGTGCTTTCCAAGGTCGTCGTAATCCCATACTGGCTGCGAAATCATCTTCAATTTTCTTCCAGACTGCTTCTTTTTGCTTCCAAGCGACGGAGTCGGACTTTTTATTCTCGATAATGTGCTTATGGTCTTCTACCAAGTTAACAAGCAACATTTCCTCTTCTTCTAAGAAATGTTTGGCCCGTTTTCTGTGACTGGTTTCCTTTTGGATATCCATTTTCACTTTACTTTTTTGCAGAAATAATTGAATATTTATTTTACGAAATTAATAAAAATTCGTTTTGTTTATTTTTGCTTTAACTAAAATAAAGATGCCACTGTGAAAAAAAAAATGCAATGACTACCAGTTACATTCACAAAAAGTAATCATTGAGGGCAATTTATTGCCATATCACTGCAATAAATGAATTTATTTTAAAGGGAGGATGTAATAATGAATTCCTCATAATGTGAACTTTATCCTTCACTTTTCCTAAAGTAAGGGATAACAACAGTGGACTATAAAGTAAAGTTATTAAAACGGGCCTAAGTCAATTTAGCGATGTCCGTCTGTCTGTTGAAATCAAGATACAGTCCACAATATTTGACTGGAGCTTCGCAATTTGACACAATAATGAGAATTGTAAATCAGGTATATCGATCTAGGTTTCACATTTGGTATTTGCGTTTTAATGGCTTTCACCTTCTGTGCCAAACATTGTCGATAACACGAATGTAATGGTATCTCCATATACTTGGTATTTGGTTTAAACTTCTTTTATTGTATTTTTAATGGGGTCTACAGCCGGTGCCAGATCTTTGCCAATATTACTACAAAGTTTCCACATGAGGGTACCGAATGATATTCGGGTTTTGGATGATTCTGAGCAAATTTTGTTTCCCGGTATTGCGCCAAATTTCATCTTTAGAATTCACTTTAATATAGGTTCCAGTTTTTGTACTGCACCCATATAGCAGTTCCACAGTGTAAAGTGAAATACGTTCGAATATTGTTTCAAGACTATTTTATATAATAATGTTTTCTTTACCGAGTTTTGCGTTTTCTACTCATTAATGGCGGGTGTATAAGTGAGATACTTTACCCATCAACTTTCCGAGCTCAGTCAATCACGGATGCTGATTGCCATAACTGGCATCTCCTCTACACCCTCCATCTGCGGAGAAAGTTGAGCGCGGATAGCCTATGAGCGGCGGTAGTTGGTGTTTATCTAGACTTGATGTATGAATAATTACTATCCTATCCTCGAAATACTCATGTCAGCCCCAACAAATTATATATATTGTTGATCAGCGTAAAATTCTAAGTCGATTTAGCGATGTCCGTCTGCCCGTCTGTCTGTCTGTTGTAATCATACTATCTTTCGAACGAATTGAGATAGAAGGCTAAAATTTTGCAAATATATTTACTTTTCCAGTAGGCAGGTTAAGCTCGTCAATGGGCCACGTTTTCATATAGCCCCCATACAACGGTACTTCCCGATATTCGGTATTTTGATGATTTTAGCGACATTATTAAGCGGAAATGTTTCAAATTTGGTATTTGAAGTTCGTGATGGCTACTGCAGCCTGTGACAGAAAGTTCACGTCTTCGTAAACCCCCCATAAAACGGTACCTGCCGATATTCGGTATTTTACTGATTTTAGCGACATAACAAATGTTTCAAATTTGGTATTTGAAGTTCGTAATGGCTACTACAGTCTGTGACAGAAAATTGTCTGTGCAGGTTCACGTCTTCGTATAGCCCAAATATAACGGCACCTCCCAATATTTGGTATTTTGATGATTTTAGCGTCATTATTCACCGGAATTGTTTCAAATTTCGTATTTAGAGTTGGTCATGAGAACTGTAGTCTGTGACAGAAAATTGTCTATGAAGGTCCAGATCTTCGTATAGGCCCCATATTTCAGTGAAGATTTTATGTACAATACCCACCGAAATTGTTTTAGATGTCGTATTTAAAGATCGTGTAGGATACTACAGCCTGTGACAGAAAATTGTCTACACTGGTCCAGGTCTTCGCACATCTGCGATATAACGGTACCACCCTATATGCGATATTTTGATGATTTTAGCTACATTACTCACCGTTTATTTCAAGTTTCGAATTTGAGTATGGTAATGGCTTATGATAAACAATTAGGACCCCAATATAACGGCTATATTCGGTATTTTTAAAATTTTAACAGAATTTTGAACGGATTTGTTTTGAAAATTTTAAAATTCGTTCCAAATGGTAACTTGTAATGTATTCTCTTAACCCCCACAACGCCTGATCTGCACAATTTGGTCGAATCAAGCCAGATTTGTGCAAAAGCGAAGTTTGCCTGGTTACCAATCATGCCTTTTTTCCTTAAGGAAAGTGTTCTAAGAAAATATCTCCCTTGCTTTTTGTTTGTGTGAGATTTCAGCATTTTTTTAATTTGCCATAGTAGCGTGCATTTCTTCTGCTTTTTCAAAGTGTAATAATCCACCACCCTTTTCTGCTTTGTTGAGAGATCATTCTACTCCTCGGTTGTGCGGTGATTTCAACTATATTATCATTATTCCAAGCTCATTTTTCCAAGCGCAGCTCTAACTGCCTACACCACAAATCAACAATTTATTTAATTCTCCCACCACTCACTGTTGGTCTGTTGGTAGCGTAGTAGTTACCCTCTCCCCTCCATCACCTGTTCACAAATACTGCTTGTGTTTTATTCCCTTTTATGCGATAATCGTAATTCACCACTGCACAGTGGGATCGAGAAAAAGTCTGAATTTAAGGAATAATTTTTTATAGTATTCTTTATATTTCTTTGTGAGCCTAATTAAATTGTTCTTTGGTTGTATGCATGATGAGACAATTTCACCCTATTTCCGGCATCTTTGAAATACCATTTAACATTGTATTATAGGATATAATATTATTCTTTTTTATTTTTTTTTTGCGTATTTTGTTAAATAAATCAAGATAAACTGCAACAATAAATTGTTTAGTACATCCAGTACATACCGAAATATTTCAACTTTAAAATATTTTTTTTATATTTTTATATTTTATCTTATATTGCACCCTAAATTTGTCATCTACTTTTTTGGTCGTGTTTTCTTCGTGAAACTCTTTGACATTTCAACAGAAAATTGCGGTTCCACCTCATTTGATTTTTTTAAAGATAAATAACATTTTTTAAATCAGTGCATATAGTTTCCGTTTTCGACAATGGAACTTTAATTTCAACACCATTTATCACAAATTTCATCCAGTTTTTTTGTAATTGTTTTGGCAACCTAGCTTCGTTTTTTAAATCAGTGCATATAGTTTCCGTTTTCGACAATGGAACTTTAATTTCAACACCATTTATAACAAATTTCATCCAGTTTTTTGTAATTGTTTTGGCAACCTAGCCACTGTCGGATACAACTTTGGCGCAATTTATTCGCGCTTCTTCAAATTTGTTGGCTCCTTCCATGCATAAGCCGGAAACTCACACCGTTTTCAACATTGAAATAAGAGGTACCGAGCTCCAATACTTATGGAACAATGTCAAGGACACTTACGCCAAGTCTATTGACTTTTTAGTTACATCGGAAGGTACGACGAGCGATAACATTTGTTCTGCCGATGAAAAATATCAAAGCAGTTGTCAGGCATATATTGATTGCTTATCTGAAATTAATGAAAAAGTCGGTTACATCTCCTCCTGCCCCCACTTGTCCACCTGTAACTGAAAAAACCACATCTCACCATTCGTCCCCTCTAACACCCTGGGAACAGGGTGTCAAAGATAAGTCGTCCTTACAGTCAATGAACGAGCTCGATTCCTTCCTTACTGAGAGAATACAAATGCTTGCCTGCTTGCACGACATCAAAGGTATAGATTCTTCAAAGTCATCTAATTCGCGTAACGATAAGGCACCTTCGGTAAAATCGCCTGAAGCAGTGAAATCATATACCAAGCGTCGTTGTCATATTTGCCTTAATGAACCTCATTCAATTTACTCTTGTTCTCCTTTTTAAACGGTTTGCCTACGTTCAAAAAGTAGATATAGTAAACAGGTTAGACTTGTGTTTCAATTGTTTATTTAGAGGCCATTCGATTTGGAAGTGTCCCAGCACCCACAACTGCTACCTATGCGGTGAAAGGCATCACACACTGATACATAGGTCAATTAGAACGACTCCTACCCGTAGTGTAGTGTTCAACCCTAGCTCTCCAAACCTACAATCCAACCCCTTGTACCCAATCGGTTCCTAATTTAGGTAACGATGCTTCTACGTCCACTAGTGCAAATTCTACTGTAGTAAATCCTCAGGTTTATCACACAACCCATAATGCTAAGGTTATTTTCAGCACCGCCATGATAAATCTCGTTCATCAATACAGTTATTATTCTATTCGAGCTCTTATAGACCCCGCTTCCGAGGCTACCATTATTACAGAAAACCTTCAGCGCAGATAACAACTACCTCCTCGATCCAACATCGCGACCATTTCTGGTGTAAATAGTTCATCCGCGTTATCGTTCAGAAAAATGTTTCGTGTTAGTATCCACTCTCGTTTCGATTCCTCCATTACATTGAACACAGAAGCTATTGTTCTGCCTACTATTTCTAGTAATCTCCCATTCTTTTCCGTCGACTCTTTTGTGTCAAATGGTTTAACTAACATATGTTTAGCAGACCCTTTGATTGCCGCTCCGTAGATATATTGTTTGGTACGGATTTGTATCCTCGTATTCTCTTGCCCAGGGTACAATGAAATATCTTAGGTTCCCTTTTGGCGCAAAATACCATTTTCGGTTGGATTCTTTCAGGTCCAATCTCGTGTTCACCGGTCCAGGTCTTTACGACCACAATAAAATCTTGGGAGGAAGGCAATCTTAAAAACCCCTTTCGCAGCTTTGCGAAGGCTTCATAAACGGACACCTCTAGACTCCAAAGTTCCAGGCAAATCACCATATGTCTTGCAACTCCATCCCGGTTCTTCACCTCTGGTTTTACCATCGTCCGACGTACCACCAACTTGCCCAATTATTTATATCCACACGTCCAGTTATTCTTTCGATATCACCACGTGTCTCTCCGACTAGGCTTCACTATAATCACCGTCGTTACTCACACTCACCCAATCGTTTTTCTCCTTCGTCTTCCGTACATAGACCAATACAATCCCCAAAAAGTGTTTAGTTACCGTATTCTCCCACATCATTACCCCATTTGTTCCATTCTCCATCACCAACCTATACACTGGCCGAAATTAAATATTTTTTCATGCACCACCGAAGTCCCCAAAATATTCATCATTATCATTCAATTAGTCACC